CCCAAGGTCAGTTTTCTTTCAGCAAAAGTGTGTTTAAGAATCAAAATCTACTGTATATTTTCAGAACCAGAGCTTTTCCATCACTCCTGAAAACTCATCCATACAAGGCTGGGGATGTAACTCAGCAGCAGAGCACTTGCCTAGCTTGTGCAAAGCCCTGGGTTTTCTCCCCAGTACTGGAAAAAAAAAAAAACCAACACATACTAAAAAACGTGCTCTAATATTGATATAAAACACCAAATTAAATCAATTGCATAATTCACTAATAGCACATGTAGCTGTTCCTCTCTCCTGCCCATACCTCCCAAGTTGTATCTTTCAAGAGTCAAATTGTGGTTATCATCAACAACCAGATAAAATGTAACAATGCCTATATTGAGAGAAAGAGAGAGAGAGAGAGAGAGAGAAAGGCATCATTTCAGTATGTATTTTTGTATAAATACTTTTTATTTTTCTTTGTTTTAGAAATGCTATGTGCCTTAATGTACTACAAAATATATGCTACAAAAGCTAAGAGTAGTTCCCAAAAGTAGAGTCCCAGCGTCAGGACCCTCTATCGATGTTCAGAATTATCACCTGCCGTGAATAGGAGCACAGTTTTCTCACCATCACCCGCCAACTTTGTTTTTTCAATTATACTATATTTCTCTTTTCTTCCAGGGCTGCCTCTGAGACCTCCCTGCCACCCTCCCAGCCCCCACCTTTCCCCTGGAATCAGGCCCACACTGTCAGCTTAAGTGCCTAACTAATCTTTGCTGCAAATTATATATTATTCACACCGGTTTCAGGCCAGGCTTCATATTATTCCACTTAGTTTGCCAGAGGTTTAAAGGATTAAACAATCCTTCAAGTATTTCCTGTTATCCCTCCTCTTCTTTCTGAGCATAGACACATCCTCCAGGCCTGGGGTTCATAACCTTGGGTCTGTGCCCTGGCTTTTGGGGACCTGTAAATCCCCAGAAGTGAAAGGTAGAATATGTGGGTATTGGTGGATTTTCTTGGGAATTGGCTCTGAGGTTTTCCTCAGATCCTAAAAGACATCCATGACCCCAAAATGTTGAAGAAGCATGGCTGCTCTCAGAGGCACTCTGGGCGCCCCTGCTCACCAGCTCCTTCTATATCCACTTAAGCCCTAGGCTGGGCTCTGACAGTGATGCCATAGGCCCTAGAGCAACAGATTATTTCCTGCTGATTGCCCTGTCAATCTCACCTCATCTGACCTGCAGGGTTGTGCCTCCTCTAGTCTTTCTCCAGAATGCTGTCCCCTTCACTGGACCTAACCTGCCTGACTCTCCTTATTCCTTTCCACAGCCCACTGACCCACTTCAGAAGGTGTTTCTGTCTTATTTCCCAAGCACCTTTACTCTGTATTGGTCTACCCCAGAGTTTCTTTTCTGAATATAGAGTATCACTCGAAGTTTTTGTTTTCTTTTCAGTTCCTACCCCTCATCAGTACACCTGGCCCATTCCAGAACCATTGTCCTCTTCAGAGATGGCATATTACCTTCTCAGGGAATGATGTTTCTCAAAAAGACACTAACATCCAATGCCCTGAGAAATCCTGGCATTATCTTTGCTCCCAGCTCCCTAAGATTGCAAGATCCCATGTCAGCATTAGATGCTATTCCTCCACTCCAGCCTAGAGCTAGCTGAGACCAAAAGCCAGTTTGCCTTGCTACAACCTGAACTAACAACTGCTCTCTCTCTTAGTCCTTTGATAGTAGTTTCTACATTTTCTAGTTAATTTCTCAATGATGAAATTGGGAGGGGAGAATAGCCATATTATTCCACTTAATGTGATTAAATATGAAAATAAAATGAAGGAAACTAAAGAGAAAAAGGAAAGGTACAGGAATACAGACTTTCAGTGGTTTCTTTTGGTGTAGGTCTTTGCTTGGGGCCATTTCTGAGAGAATCCTTTTTGTCCTGTGCTCCTTCTGATTTGCATCTGAGAGCAGAAAGGGTGCAGTTAGAAAGTAAGTTGAGGGATCTGGCTCTTTGGCCCTGTGAGTCTTAGTGGACTGAGCCCAGTATCATAAATCATAAGTTGGCAGCAAGGGTAGATTTGGGGCCCTCAGCAAACTGCCATTCCAGTCCAAAGTTAGCTGCCAGTGAGGTTTGCATTCTGAGCCTGCTGACACTTCGGATAGCCTTTGCTGATATCCAAAGGAGAGAATTCCAGCCTTGCCATATTTAGATTCCTGCTCTAAGTCAGAGTTCTGAGCTGTTTAGTCTGATACAGGATCCTCTGCTAAGGAAGTGACTAGACTGTGGCCTTTTTGACTCACAGCAAAGCTCAGTCAAGGGCAGAGACCTAGTTGGTTCCCATCCTCAGATAGGGATGGAGGCACCACCAGATCACTTGCCCTCCCACCCATTCTCTTCCTTTCCCTTCTGAAGCTGACTTTTCAGAAGAGATTATTTGTCCCTTCATTAACTGAAAAGTAAGCAGCATTTTTATGAAGCCAAAGCCAACTCCCTTTTGGGGCCTATGGCGGCTGTTGGAGCAGTAGTGCCATGCAGTTATGTGAGTCTTCCACACATCTCTTAATCCAGTGCTTCTTCTGCAGCAGGAAGACAGAGCACAAAGAGAAGCAGACAGCTGACTCCACACTGCCGCCATGCACCTCAGCTCCTCTCACCTTTGAAGAAATTAAAACAACATACAGTGTTGGGATATCTGTGCACCTGTGCCAGGATTAGTTGTCAGGTCCCAAGTATGCTCGAGCATAAGTCAGCTGAACCATTTCCCTTTCATCAAAGGAGTCACCCGAATGTGGGGCCTTGTGAGAGACAAACAAAACAGTTGTCCTTCAGCCATATTAACTGTGATGAAGACAATTCAGAACAAGACATCTATACTTCACTCTGCTCTCCCGCTCCAAGTGCCTTTTATGTGCCTGGCACTCTATTTTGTATTTCACATCTGACCTAATTAATACCCAGAGCATTTCTGTTAGGGTATATTTATCCCATGTTGCAGATGAGAAAATTGAAGGTAGAGTTAATGTGTCCCAGATATCACATCTAGCCTTTGGTAAACCTAGGTTTGACCCTCTAGATCCTTCACTTGTCTTACTGCACCGTGTCATCCTGGCAGTCTGGTAGACCCTGGGGCTGTACCTTAGAATCGTGGCAGGGTGGTCTGAAGATAATTCAGAATCTCTGCAAGTGGAACCTATGCCACCTAGGGAAGAGATGTGAGCAGGTCAGCTTACTCTTCTGCCCTGATAGGACAGCCTGGCTTTCTTTCCATCAATCATATGTGTCCTAATGTGGGTCCAAGCAAAACCACCAGCTCTCCTGTGGTTCCTGCCCCATGTCTGCCTTCAAGACTGAGCTATTTGCTGAAGTTCATCCAGTGCAGAACTCAGCCTTGGTTGAGGGAAGATTGATGCAGGGAGAGACAGGAGCAGTCATGAAGAGGGACTGGGTCAGGGAGTATCTCTGAGGATGTATTCAAGACATTGTTTGGAGGCCAAAGAACAACAGTTCCAGCATAGTGATGGATGAATTAGGTTTGAATGAAGTAAAAATGACTAGGTTTTAAAGTTCTGGTGGACAGATGGTTCTACAGTTAATGAAAATGAGTACATTGAAGATAAATATTGGGTTTGGAGAGGGAAAATGGTGAGATTAACATGTTCACAGAAGCTTCAGGGCAACAGGACCTAACAATAAGATGTCTACCAGCAAGTGAAAATTTTAGTTGAGAGACAGACTTTCTGAGTGGCTCAAATGCATCAAGCAGTGATGCAAATAGTCCAAAGAGGGTGAGAAAGCAAACAGTAAGAACAGGCTGCCCAGGTCCTTATGGCACATTCAGACAATGTCCTTGTGTACCTCTGGCACTTAATTTAAATACAGGTGAACATGGTTGAACCTCGAAAACATAATGCTAAGTGAAAAACACCAGAACCAAAAGGCCACATATTGTATGATACTATTTATACAAAATATCTAGAATAGATAAACTTGTAAAGACAAAAAGTAGATCAGTGATTGCCAAGGGCTGGGGGATGAATGAGTGAAGAGTGACTACTGAGGGGTATGCAGTTTTGTTATGGTTTAGATATTAGATATCCCCCTAAAAGCTCATGTTAAGACGATGCAAGAAAGCATAGAGGTGAAATGATTGGGTTAGGAGAATCTTAACCTAATCAGTGCATTCATCTCTCCACAGGGATTAACCAGATGGTAACCGTAGGCAGGTGGAGTGTGACTGGAGGAGGTGGGTAAAGGGGCTGTTCCCTTGGGGTATATATTTCGTCTGTGGTAAGGGGAGCTCTCTCTCTTCTTCCTGGTGCCATGTTCTGAGCTATACCTTTCCACCATGATGTTCTGCCTCACCTTGAGCCCTGAGGAATGGAGATGGTTGTCTTTGGACTGAGACCATGAAACCATGATCCCCCAAATAAAATTTTCCTCTCTAAAATTGTTCTTGTCAAGTCTTTTGGTCACAGCAGTGAAAAAACGGACCAAAACAAGTTTCTTTTGGGGTGATGAAGATTTTTTAAATCAACATTGGTGATGGTTGCACAACTCTGTAAATGTACTAAAATTCACTGAGTGAATTTTTGTAAATAATGTCTGAAATTTAAAATTTAAAAATAAGAATATGTATGTATGTGTGTGTATGT